CGCCCCCCCCCCCCTCTCCCCCCCCCCCCCCCCCCCCCCCCCCCAACCCCCGCCTCTTTCTCACACTGTATTCCGACTTCCCCTTTTAGTACTACCATGCTGTGATAAGTAGTCATGAAACAAAAGAAGTAAAATGTGTTTGGGTAGTCGAATAGCTGAGCCTTGATAATATGTGTCTGTGATATCTACATATAGATAAAAGCCGAGTGCCAACTGTAGGAGTGGTTTACGCTTCTAATGAAGTAGGAGACAGTGAATCCAAGCTTTGGAGGGCACTGTTTTGAGCTAGACCAAGGAAGAGAAGGGATTCTATGAAGTACTCTACAAAGGGTTCTGATGACAGGCGGGATCCGGCTCTGTATTTCTTTGTCTCTTCCATGAGGAGGTGACTTACGTGTGTACTTCCACGCTGGTATGTTCATTTCTGTCAGTGTGAGCACAAACAGACTAAGCATGCATTCAGCAGGAGCCGACCTTGTTCAGCGTTCCGTAGCCAATGACTCTCTTCTGCCTCGAAGAGAAAAAAGGGCCCACCTTTCTGAAGAGAACTGTCAGGCCCAGCAGTGATGCTACTACCTGAGGCTACAGGTAAACCATCCAAAGTGTGGTAGTGTCAAGGAGGTCCCCCTCAGTCTGCCGCTCTGTGGAGAGCTGTGGGATGTTGCTCTGTGTGTTTGGTTGATCATAAGGACTCCAGATCGTCCTGTGCTCATCACCCACTCGTTCATAGGACTGTATTGCTGCTCGGTGTGCTCAGATGCTGCAAGCAAGGAACACAAGGGCAAGTCCCAGCCTTTGTAAGGCTGACACTCAATTGTAAACCATCAGAACTGTTCCCAGGGATTTAGCTTGCAGGCAATCTTTGATGGAAGGATCCAGAAAGGGATAAGGATCTCACTGCCGTGTAGAATCTTCCTCAGGGAAAGGGACCCTCTCATCAGCAGAGGAGACATGGTATAACTGATGTATAGCCTTCGAACCCTCCAGCTTTCAGTGCTAGACTTGGAACTCAGCCTAGGAAGAAAGCCAGTGCCGTGGTGGCCACCTGTTATGAGCAGAGGCAGAAAATTAGTTTGGAGCTCTGGGTTTTCTGACCTCATCACTCGAAGCCCAGGCTGCACCAAGCTTTCTGCTCAACCAGCTGACCAAAAGGCATAGGAACATAACCATAAGTCAGCAAACCAAGGCAAAGAAGGGTTACTCCATCCTCCAGCTGTGTGTTCGAATAATACAAAACCCGTGTTTCTCAGGGACCAGAGAGAATGTGAGGTGCAGCTCAGAACTATGGAAAGTCTTGGGGGAGCAGATTTTTTTTGAAGCTCTCCTCAGAATTACTCCTGTATTTTCATGATGGTCCTTGCCAATTCAGGCTGCTGTAGTTTGTGTTGCTTAAAAACAACAGGGTCCGGTTCCTCCCAGTTCTGGCGGTTGCAGTCTGACATCAGGACACCAGCATCGGATGTTGGTGAGAACTGTCTTCTATTGCTTGCCAGCTAGCTTCCTACTGTATTCTCACAGGCAGGAAAAGGGCAAGGGCTCCCTGGAGCCTCATTTATGAGGGTACAAATCCCAGCCTCGAGGTATCTACATCTTATGATATAATTGCCTCTCAGAGGCCCTACCTTCCAACACCACGTCAGGATTTCAGTGTTGGACTTTCAGAGACCGGGACAGTAAGCTTTCAGTTGTAACCATATTCATGGAATGGAGTTGTAAGTCCGCTGTTGAGAGCTTCTCCAACTTGCCTGAGACGGAGTTTGATCTCCAGAACAAACAAGCACCGCACAGCTTCGTTTTCCTCCTTCTTCCGGCTTTACCTTGTGTGATGAGCCTTGCTGTTTTCAGTGAGTTAATAAGAGTGCCATTGTGCTAAGTGCTGGGCGGCGTGCCAAGCGCTTTGCATATCTTTGAAAACACAACCCTTTCAGCAGCCCTGTGGAGTGGGTGTGAATGTTACTCCGGTTTCGGAGCTGAGGAAGGCTGAGCTGAAGAGGTTGGGTGCTGTGTCCAAGGTTTCAAAGGAAGACAGAGAGAGCCTGGTTTTGAGTGCAGGTGGCTTCTCAGAGCGAGGGAAGCACCCGCAGAACCATTGTCCGCACAGCCTGTCCATTGGAAACCCCATGCAAACTATGACTGTGTATGGAAAGTGGTCATTGGGGGAGAAAACTGGGCGGGGCCTCAAGCCCCACCCACTAGGCCTTCTCTGACTCTTCCCCCACACCCACTCCCAGAGCTCTCTCGTGTTACTTGAAATGTGTTCATGTAGTGGAAATAATAGGCTTTGGAGCTAATGCAGAATGATTCAGGGCTTCCCTGAATGTCTATATGATTTGGGGCTGGACAGTCATCTTCTTCTACCTTAGTTGGTTCGTCTATAAAGTGGATGCTCTCTGCCTGCTTTTTGAAGCTGTTGGGACATCCCAACACGTGACTGTGAGACTTGGAGTTCATTCCCTCTTCCTCCTCCTCTCGAGTTGTCCCCAGTGGGTAGACAGATGGGGAGAATTCCTTCTTCCTGATATCCATAAACCTTTGTTCACGTGTCGCCTCCTATCATGCAGCCGTCTGTCAGTGCTAGGACTATTCCTTTGCACTGTTTCATCCCTGGAACTCTCAGATACTTTACAAAAGGTAAAAGCACTATCTTGGAGTTCAAGCTGATATTTATGATCTTGATGTACAGGTCATTGAATCTAAATTGAAAAATTGTGTCTCTGTGTGTGTTTTTCTGTGCATGTGTGTGTATGTGTATGTTTCTGGGTATGCACACATGGCTATTGTTGTGGGTCCTTGTCAGAAGCTGGTAGAGGAAAGCTATTTCTTATTCAGTACTCACACCTGATATATGCTTGCAGTACAAAGCACAATCTAATCTGATTTTAAGAATCATACCCAGCATTTAAGTGTAGACCCACAAGTTAAAGGTTCAGTTTCTTAGAAGTGTCCTTCATTTTAGATAGCAGTCACAGATAATAGTCCCAAGGTTACTCATGTTTTTGTTTGACTTGCAGATCCTCACAATCCTCATGTGTCTCAGTGTGCTGGAATGACTCACAGAGCTCAGGGAAACAGTTTGCTTACGCTTACTCTGCTGTGGTCTCTGTCTCTCTGTTTCTCTCTCTCTCTCTCTCTCTCTCTCTCTCTCTCTCTCTCTCTCTTTCTCTCTCTCTTTCTCTGTTGCTCTCTCTGTCGCTCTCTGTCACACACACACACAAACACGGTTTCTTTGTCTAGTCTTGGCTGCCTTAGAACTCGCTATGTAGACCAAGCTGGCCTCGAACTCTTAATGGTGTCATAAAAGATGTGGCAGAGCGTCATACTAACACATAGAAATGTGTAGGGTGAAGTCAGGGGTCCTGAGCACAGGAGCTTCTGTGTTGTAGAATTGAGCTGTACCCCTGGCATGTGACTGCATTGACCCTCCCAGACTATCTCAGTTCTATCACTCAGGGTGTTTGTAGAGGTGCCATTGCACACTGATTCAATGCACTGAGCTTTGGTGATTAGTAGAGTCTCTAGTCCTGATCAGTGGGACTGAATATTCCAATCCTCTCCTTGTGACTGGTGCTTTTGAGTATCAGCCCTTATGCCGGAACTGTCCAGAGTCTTAGTCACCTCCTCAACATACACAAGGATGCTTATCCCAAAGCCCCAGTGGCTCTAGATATTCGAGATCAAGAAACTGAACTCTAGAACCAAACATAACAAGAGACAATACCCCCTACCTTGTTACCTGTCTCCTGTCACTACAGAAGTTACAAATTTAAGCGTCTGCCAGGAACTTGGGACAAAGACCAAATATATACTTCTTCTGACATCACAATGTCACAACAGCAATATGAAAAAATAACACGTCATCAAGGAGAACTCCTTGAGTTTGGGAGGTTAAAGTCCTGACTCACACTTGCTAGTGTGCAGCCTTGGGCTAATTACACTACCTTTCTTTTTGGGCCTGGCTCTCCCCACGAATGAAGTAAGAATACCAGTTTCTACTCTA